AATTATTCGTTGATTGCCTACCGGTCTTCATAACACGGTCTTTAGTGATTTCAATATCCTCGTATACTTCAATTATATACTATTTCCTTTCTTAACTTTCACAAAAACTGCAACATTTTCACCGAATTCGAATAGTAAAGTTAAAAATTTATTATTTCAAAGTCACACGAAACGCTCAAATTGGTAGTATTTGCAATATTTGGAAAGAGGCGGAACGATACATGCCACATTAATTGTTTTAAAACGAATCATATTCAATGCTTCAGAAAAATCGTCAATAATGATAAAAATTATTGGGTGAGCCATGTTGAATATCGGTAAAATATTCAATTTGTAATAAAATCCCGTAAACATAATATATTAATTCACAATAGTATGAAGCAATTTGAGAATCCAAATGAATGTGGTTGCGGTTTTGCATTGTTTATAGTTTTATATATAGTGATTTTCGGATTCGAGTTTATAGTTATATGACGATTTCTTAAACGGTGAAAAATTGGGGGACTATTCAAGCCAAGTTTTTTAAAACTCATGTATAAAACGTTCAACTTCGAATTTCTGGTTTTCTAGTTACAAAAGCAAAAATGTATTCCTAATTGAAACGCCAGCACAGGCATATACAGGCAACACATTAAAGACCGTATGATAACTAAAATTTAACTGCAGAAAGTTTTAAAAAATCGTTGAATTCATCACTTTATATTGATGATTATCAATAATATTTTCGTTTGATACAAACAAAGCATAATAATTAGAAGAGTTCTCATTTGATATATACATATTTAAAAATAGAATTTGGTCTAATCGGCCGATACTCAATTAAAATCCATTATCATGGACTGAAGTAATAATTTATCGTGGGATTTCCACTGAATAGTTCACAAAACAACCACACATGTTCTACTGAACAATAGCCTCTTCAAACTTCTCACAATAAAGTGTTACTGGAGTAAGTCAGTATACAATTCAACGGACTGATTCTAGTTTGAATATGAAAGATCCAAAATAGTCGAAATTTTATAGAAGTCATTATTTTTATCAAAAAAGCCTTGGAAATAATCTTATTGTATAGGATGTATCTATTCAACAGATTATCACGTACATTTTGAATACACGAACGATATGGGCATCCATTGTATGTCCATGCAATGGAGATTCAGTGAACGTCAAGTGAATATTCTATAAATATCCATAGGCCGCTATCTTGAACATCTGACTTACTTTGGGCATGGATTGTATAATAAAGGAAGAAATATGAGATGAAAAAATTCCAAACATTCATTACTGGACTTTTGAAAAACATAAACTGAACAATGACGTCACCTGAACCTTCTTAGGACTTAACTGAATCAATTGGACGTTTCCAAAAAGTCACTTAGAAAGGGGACAAAACACAAGCACTACAAGAAAATCCTTGAGGCGCCTTCAGAGAGGTGCCTGTGCGAAAGTAGCGATTCACATTGGATTTGAATCGCTGGAGATTAAATCCAAATGGAAAAACGTTCTCAGGAAGTTGCGTTCTCAGCGTGGTTGCATTCTGCCTGTATGAGTTCAATTTCAATGACTTCTACATATTTGTTAGTTTTTGGTATTTGGCTCTTAGGGTACATTTTCAGTAAAAGTTCACTCTTCTTCAAGTCAAAGTCCATATATAATTAATTGTGTTTGGAATGGACATAAATATTTGGAATGACATCGATAGGAAGATATACAAATTGGGCATAAAACCGAACAGATAAAGGAAACTCAAAATGATGTAATTACTTTTGAAGTATCTATAAATTTCAGGAGAAACTTAAAGCAATATAACCTAGGGATAATCTGGATTACTTTTACGGAAAACATTAGGAAAATGTTTGATTACCTCTATTAATTTTTCACAAGAGTGCAATCGTCTGAAATTCTATATAGAAACGAGTATGCAGGAAGCTCGATATCTTGATTTCAATTCAACGGTGTGACAGATCAATGCCAGAGCCATTCATATCATTCCTTTTTGATAATGTTGTAAATTGTGTCAAAGATATTTTGTGGGTTTTTTGGCCATGCTATGCAGGTTTCTGTGTTCGACGTTTTGTCTACTTCTATGGTAAACAATATTAAATGCGATAAGATAACGGTCAAATGTCTCGAGTTGTTCTTAACGCAGTTACTGAAATGTTAGAATTTGTCTCCGGTTCAAAATCATAATTGGTGATGAAGCTCAGTTTCTCTGAACTTGGTTGAATGATCTTGCTTGTGTACAGGTAGTTAAAATTCTACTGATGTTCATTACCTCTTCCATTCTATTAGGGAAATCTCTGTGTTTCTAAACTTCTATTGCCTCTCTAAATATTTACGAATTGTAACTCTGAGGTTCATCAAGTATTTGTATACCAACAAATGAGATATTCTGAGTGGCTTCTTTGAGAGCACGTGGTTTGTATGAGTCTACAATGTCTCTTTTGTTCAGAGACGGGTAAATATACTTTTTTCTTGGTTGCAATGTAGATCAACACGAAGCTACAAGGGATCAGATATACCGCGGGTTCTGTTGAAGGCTTTCTGGGACCCTTAGCTCACCTTTAATTTTTTCTTTCTTGCCCAAATATTTCTCCCAATCTGGTTGGTAACATTCTCAGTATAGTGAAGGAAAGATATTTGTTCAACGAGCCTAGCTGCAGTCACTTTGGCGTTCCTTCTCCTGGGTTGTATACTAGAATTCCACTTGGTTCTTCCTTTGAAAACATTTTCAGGTGATTGGGTTTTTCAGCGAGACTCTCAGGTTCACAAATGTGTGGGTCCTGTCAACCAACATTCAAATCACCTGCCTCTTTTGTCGTGACTAATGGTTGAAGTTTCCATTCAAGTCCATGCCAGTGTGTGTGTTTCCTGTAGATTATATGGCTGAATGTCCCATCTTCACGTCTGTTCACAAAAACATCCTTCGGTTTCTGGTTCCATTGTTGAGTGGATTTTTGGGTTAAGAGAGTTCACATATGATAGAAAATCTTGTTTCCACTACTATCTATTATATCTTAACTTCCTCAACCCAAACATTAAATGTAGCGCACCGAAAAAAAATATGTTTAACCATTTTGATTGGAAGAGATGATGATGATGATATATAAAATTATTTATTATGAGTATTATCACCTTATGCCTTTCTATACTGTATTTTCCAAAATAACTCAACAACGCAAGGTACGTATGGGATATGGGAAAAAAAACAGTATTTTTGCTGAATATTACTGTGGTTTTTTCCCAACACCAAATCGTTATTTTTAACACCTCGACACGTGTTTCGATCATCAAGTGATCATCTTCAGAGAGGAAGATTAAGTTTTAATCTTTCTTGGTGATCGAAACACGTGTCGAGGTGTTAAAAATAACGATTTGGTGTTGGAAAAAAAATCCAGTGATATTCATTACTACACCAAAGGTTCCAAACAGTGCATCATAAGTATTTTTGCTGTTACTTCTTCACAAATTTCTCCTCATTCCTTCCAATATAGTTTCATCAATTCTTTCATTCTGAAATGCCGCTGTTGAGACCAGTGTTTTCAAAGTGTTTTTCTGAAAACAAATTCATAGTCTGCGTTGAGTTTTTTAATGCTTGCCAACATAGGGACCTATGTTTGACCTATGAGTTGATAGTAAGTGCAGTGTGAGCTGAATCATTGTCCTGATTAAGCACACACAACTCGTTTTTCAACAACTCTTGTCGCTTTATTCTTTTTAGCTCACGATGAGTGTCAGAACCTTGAAATAAAATTCAACAGCAATCTTGATGGATGAGATCGCTTCTTTTGCCGATGTTTTTTACATTTTGAATAACGAAATTTCAACCCACAAGATTGAAATATATGATTTCTTTGAACTCCCCCTTCAAGTCTTTCATGCCATCTACACCCCATCAAAATACCTAGAAAACTATTAAATTTCAGTCACTTCACTTGGCTTACTAATATGCATATTATGTTCAAACATGATAGTTGTACAAAGGCGTTCTAGATATGGATTACTTCACACCCGTCAAGTAATTTTGTGTTATGAGGAAGAATATCGATTCGACCTGAACTGGTTCTGAAGCTTGGTATATCAAGCCACCGCCATCTGGCCAGAGTTTTTAACTCATGGCTGGACGGAGAGCAGCCGATTCCGGATTCGTTTGTCGAGGGGCGGACCGTTATTATCCCCGAAAGCGGAGATTTGCCGATTCCTAAGAATTACAGACCGATAACATGCTTGAATTCGTGTTAAAAGTTGTTTACAAGCATCTCATACACACGAATACTTACCGCAGTTGACCGAGTGTTCGAACGGATATATGAGCAGAGAGGGTCGAAGAGACGAGTCGCTGGGTGTAAAGAGAACCTGCTCATCGATAGATTTGTAACGCAGGACTCGATACAATACAAGCGTAACCTCTCTATGGCCTCGATCGATTACCGTAAGGCATTTGATACAATTTCGCATGAGCTCATCTTGCATTTGCTCAGATGCCTTGCGGTACCCGATAACATAGTGGGATGCATTGAACAACTGATACCACTTTGGCGAACTCGCTTCACCATAACATCTGGTCAAGCAAGAGTCCAAACAGGGTGGGTCACTTTCAGAAGGGGTGTATTTCAGGGTGATTCCCTCAGTC